ACCACCATGCCAGCTACATGCCCAACACTTAATTTTTTGTTTAGGTTTTGTCTTGGGGTCCGGGCACTCACTGGAGAGAGACAGAGAGAGGGAAAGTAGAAAATCACCGCTTGGAGGGATGGCCACACGACAATCCCTTCTCTGTTCTCCACTCAGGATTTTGGGCATGCATATGACATGTGCCCAGTGTGATTTTCAAGCCACCAGGCTCCAGACTCAAACTGCAGTCAGCCATGGGGAATCCAGTGCAGGGCCTTAACCAACACAGCACCTGCTGGCCCCAACACTTAATATTTGCTAAAGTCAAAATGAATGCAAGAATCCACAATAAAATAAAACACAGTCTTCTCCGATGATCCAGCAATCATGCCCCTTTGAGCTGAAAACTTAAGCCTACACAAAATCTGCACATGGGTTCGTAACTGCCCAAATCTGTAAGAAGCCAAACACTCTTTGGGCTGTGACTGGATCAACGGTGGCACCTCCAGACGACAGACCACTACTCAGTGCCGAAAGGAAATGACCTACCAAGCTACGCAGAGACACGGAGGAGACGCAAATGCAAACTAAGTGCAGGGAGTCCATTTGGAAGGGCTGCAGGCTGTATGATCCCAACTAAGTGACTTTTTTTTTTCTTGGTTTTTTTTTTGAGAGGTTTTTGCTATTGGGCGCGTGCGCTCGCCAGACAGACAGAGAGAGACAGAGAGACAGAAAGCGAGAAATCACCCCCCATGGGGGATAGCCATGCTGCAATTCCTTCTCCTCCATTCTCCTCTCGGGATCTGGGGTACGCACGCACACGTGCCTGGCGTGAGTTTAAGCCACTGGGTCCGGGACTCGAATTGCAGTCGACTACGTGGGAGTCCAGTGACACAGCCATTATGCTAACTGCTGGTCCCCATCAACCACATGACATTTTGAGAAAGGCCAAACTGTGGGGACATAAGAGCAGTGGTTGCAGGGGGATGGAGGGAAGAAGGGCGCGCAGCATACAGGGGGTTGAGGGCAGTGACACCACCCAGTGTGAGGACCACCTCAATGGTGGGTACCTGCCATCAGACATGCGTTCACTTCCATAAAAGAGTGACGCCAAGACGGAACCCTTATGTAAACTCTGGGTTCCAGGTGACAACGGCATCAGTGTAGGCTCATGACTTGTGACACGTGGACCGCTGTGGGAAGGGACATTGATGGAGAGACGCTGTGGGGGCAGGAGGCATGTGGGAATTTTCTATACCTCCCTTTCAGTTTTGCTGCAAACTTAAATCTGTCCTAACAATGACAAAAAGTGAAGTCTTTAAAAACAAAAACCTTGGGACCAGCAGATTGCAGAATGGTTACATTGCTGGACTCCCATGTAGCTGACTGTGGTTTGAATCCCAGATCCAGCAGCTTAAAGCTCACACTGGGCGTGTGTGTGTGTGTGTGTGTGTATGTGCCCAAAATCCTGAGAAGACAATGGAGGAAAAGAGATTGTAACATGGTCATCTCCCTGGAGGAAGATTTCTTGCTTTCTGTCTCTTTGTCTCTCTGGTGAGAGCATATGCCTGATAGCAAAAATCTCGCTAAAAAAATAAGTAAAAAAACCTTATAATGAGCAAAGCATCAACATTTTAACTAAAGTCAAGATCAACAGGGCTTTGTGCGAGATCTTAAGATTCTGTGGATTAAGATAAAATGGCAAGGAGGTCAGCACACCTGTGGGTGTTAAGGTGCTGGACTCCCACATGGCCAACCACAGTTCAAGTCCCAGACTTGGCAGCTTGCTTTCTCGCTTTCTTTGTCTCTCTCCCTGGTAAGTACATGTGCCATATAGCAAATTAGAAAGTAATAGTAAATAAAATTAAATAAGTAATTTTTTTTGAGAGGTTTTTGCTATAGGGCGCGCGCGCTCACCAGACAGACAGAGAGGGATAGAGAGACAGAAAGCGAGAAATCACCCCCCAGGGGGGATGGCCACGCTGCAATCCCTTCTCCTCCATTCTCCTCTCGGGATCTTGGGCATGCACGAACACGTGCCCGGTGTAAGTTTTAAGCCACTGGGTCTGGGACGTGAACTGCGGTCCACTACGTGGGAGTTCAGCGACATAGCCATTATGCTAACTGCTGGTCCCATACACAATTATTTTTTTAAGAAAGATAAAATGATAGGACTAGTGCTATAGTGGAAAGGGGGTGAGCTACTCAAAAGCTGGGTTCCACATGGTGACTACGGTGTCATTCCTGGCCTGGCCTGAAACCTGCCATGCATGCATTAACTACCTAAGACCCAAAGGCCTGACAGACTGAAGGAAGGATACTGTGCCATGTATGACCAGACCCTGTGTACGGTGCTCATTTCTCTCTCTCTCCTGTGTGTATACACATACTCTCTCATGAACACAGACAAAAACACAGACAACAACATACAGATCCCTAAAAAAGCACCCAGGACTTCCAAATGGCACAAAAAGCAGGAGGTCACAGCTCAGGCCTGTGCTCTCAGAAGAGTGGTTTTCTTCCCAGGAGCCTGAGTGTCCAGGAGTACAACAAAGCCAGACTCCAGGACTTACTCAATGACAAACCCGAACAGGCTAGGAAGGGAGACTGTGCTTAAGACTACCCGAGTCCCACTTTCCCTTTATTTCCCATCAGGATCAACTGGACAAAGCCAAGAGGGTCTGACTGGGCAGGAGGACGTTCCCAGGCGGGCCACAGGGAGACAATGAGGACAGCCACACCAAGCCCTGGCCCAGAGCTGCCTCAGTTCCTGGAACCACACCACCCCCCACCCCCTTTTGGCCAACTCTCCTGTTCTCTCCCTGCTTCCTTCATTTCTATCCAGGAGTTGTGAAAATCACAGGCCAAAAGGCCCCTTATGGAGATGGCAGAGTCAACACTTCAGATATGGTTTCTAGCCTGCTGTGATAGCACGCCCGCTGGCCCTTTGCGGCAAGCTGTGTCCAGAGTAAAACCAAGCGCTTGCACAAGTGCGGCCACCCTCCTGCAGGCCACACCACCCAACAGCTCCTTGGATGAGGCTGCCTGACATGGCTCCTGCAGCCTCTCTGCCCCAGGTTTGGTGCCTGAACCCTGCAAGTATCTACCTGCTCTGCAAACCTGCCAATTGCTGTTGGCCTCAAAGGGAAATTCCTGCCTTCCTGACAAAGGGTCCATTATCCAACAGGCTCACAGTCCTTTGCCAGGCAGAGAGGGAAGGTGAATAGGTATTTACCTCCAGTTTGCATTGCAAAGCAGAGGCTATCTTTACAGAGACCTGAACCTCGGTCATTTCCTGCAAAACACAAAGGAGAAATTCCACCTTTGACAGGCCTGAAGTTGAGTGGGGCTAAGAAAGCACAACACTCTTTGATCTGGACCCAAAGTCTCAGCCTACTGGCTGTGTGGGAGCCTGTGTCACCTGACACTGCCTGGCCCAGTGGGTTTCCCAGGTAGGCCCTATCCTGCATGCCCCTGTGCCTTTATTAGGTAGGATGGGACTGAGAGGAAGTAGAGGGTTGGACTTCCAGCTTCTGCCATTTAAATGTCTATCTGCGTGTAAATAAACACAGGTACACAAACCAGCAGGTTTTCTAGGGCCTTCTCCCCTTTGTCAAATGAGGACTCTGGATTATTAACCTCAGATCAAGTATACAAAATTGAATGTGAAAAATTAATATTGAAGGGACCAGCAGATGGCATAATGGTTATGTCTCTGGACTCCCACATAGTCGACCGCAGTTTGTATCCCCAACCCGGAGGCTTTAAACTCATACCAGGCACATTTGCATGTATGCCCAAAATCCCAAGAGGAAAATAGAGGAGAAGGGATTGTGGTGTGGCCATAACCCCTCGGGCGGTGATTTCTTGCTTTATGCCTCTCTGTCTCTCTCTATCTCTCTGGGAAGCATATGTGCCCTACAGCAAAAATCTCTTTAAAAAATTAATATCAATGCAAATAAGAATAGGGTGTTTTTGTTTGTCTGTTTGAATTTGGTTTGAGTTTTTTAATATTTGTTTTTAGGACAGCTAGGACAATGCCTGAACCCACACTGTTCTGGTTGTCTTCTGCAAATGAGCAAATAAAAATCAAAGTGCTCTCTTAGTCTGTGTCCTCTTCCTTCTTCCAATAATAAGGCATTTGCTGGGGTTTCTGTGGTAGAATTCAGCTCTCTTTTGCACAAACCAGACTCTGAAGACTTTTGCACACTGACCCTCTTCCTGTTCCTTTTCCCCTGACCCCATCTGTCTGCAAACATGAATACTGGGTTGGAGCCTTGAAGTGGCAGATGAAGCACATGAAACACATCACAGTTGGCAAAGAGGTGAAAACCCTCATGACTTGCATGTTTTGTTAAAGGACCAAAAAAAGAAAAAGAAGGAAAAAGAAGAAAAAAGGGAAAAGAAAAGAAAGAAGGAAAGAAAGAAAAGGATACAAAGTGAATTTCCAAGACAACAGTGCAAACGGTATGTGGTAAAGGCGGAAAGACAGAAGCCTTCTGTGTTTGGAAAAGCTTGTTGAAAGGAAAAGCTGCCCCTACATGATCCAGGCCTCCTCGTCCTTCCCTGCCTTAGCAGGCAGAACAGCCAAGGAAGTTTGGTCACACTGTCCCTCTTCTTCCTGGGCCACTGGTCAGGTGGGAAAGGGCAGATGCTAACCCGAGTGGTGGACGTAAGCACACACTGCCTTGGCTTCTGGGGCTGGCGGGTCTGCGATGTGGTCTTGCTCACAAGGGATGGGCTCTGCTCATTCTGCAGCCCATCCCTCCTGATCCTCTATACCAGCGAGCGATCCTGGCCTCTGGGCCGGAGTTGCTAATCCCAGTTCTAAACATGGCCAGCCCCAAAGACAGCTTGCTTGTACTCGAGTCCTCAGTCGGAAAATCCTCAATGCTTAATATTAAACCAAAGGAGTTTCCCACTCCTGGGGCTTTCACGAACCAAGATCAAATTCACATGGGCTGGAGGGCATGTGTTCAGAAGTAGAAAACTATACGCATGCAGTCATTTCTGAAGCTTACCCAGAGACCGTTCTTTTGTCTGGTTGGTTGTCCTCACCACAGGAAGGCTGGCTCGAGTCCGGCTGCCTCCTAGAAAAGGGACTGGGAACATCCCCCTCAGACATGGCTTCCAAAGAGTCACCCGACGTCTCTGATAAATGCTCCACTGGGTCGCCCAAACTGGGAGGTTGAGGACTGTGAGATAGTTTGGGGCTTCTTGTCTGCAAAAGAAATTTTAGAGACAGTGTGAAAAGAAACTATGATTAATTATGCTGAGAACGTTTTCAAAGCCATCTCCGTCAACCAGGAAAATGAGATAGCAAGGGGAAAAAGCCCATCGGAAGGTCTGACAGAGACAACTAAAGACGCAGTGGGTCAAAGTGCCAGCGGTGAGAGTGACTGAAAAATTGTCCCCGAGTATTTAGTGAAGATTTTGTCATTGGACATCTTCTGTACAAATGTCATTATGAGCGGGGAGGAGAGGACAAGTCACATAATGGGAAAGAACGATGGCAAATCGATTGCTTCCGGCAGACAGATTCTAACAGCCCCTATCAGAGCAGAGGGCTTGTGCACGTCCCTGTATACTCGGTGTGGATGATATTCTCGTACAGGAGTAAATTAAACACTAGCAGCCCTTCGAAGTTTCATGTCAAGACTGTCTCCAAACTCATAAACTAAGATAGGGAGGGAGATATTTATATCACAGTTGATGTTTACGTCGAGGCAGAAATCCCATAAGATTATCTCTAGCTTTGGTTATTTCTTACCTTCCCAATCAGCAGAAAGCATCTATAATAACGTACATCCATCCACAAAACAGTTAATTGAATTTCCCATTTATCTCTCCTGCAATGGCAGGGGTTGAAAGTATAAAATACTTGCAATCTATTAGTCAATAACACTGCTTAAACATGAACTACAGGTTGAGCACTGGGAGATGCAGAAAAACAGACATGTTGACTGATAACATGCTGACTGATGTTAGAGTTCCGATCCTAGTTGAAGAGATTGGCAAAGAACAGCAAACCACACAAGGCCGTGCATAATTAACTGTGAACTCCGAAGTGTGGGTTGCATCCACTCATCTGTTGATAAACACCTACTGAACACCCATGGTGTTCTAGGCACTGCGCTATGTTGCTAGGTTCTGGGGACAGAATGATGCATAAAAGAGTCAGGACGAGGGGCAGGCAGGTGGCGTGGTGGTTAAGGGTGCTGGACTACCATGTAGCCAACCACAGTTTGAGTCTTGGACCTGGTGGCTTCCTTTCTCACTTTCCCTCTATCTTTCTCTCACTCTGTCCCTCTCTAGTCAAATTAAAACAAATAAGTAAAAGTTAAACAAAATAATTCTTTTAAAGAGAGAGAGAGAGAGAGAGGACACACATTAACGACAGGTTAAGGGAGTGGTGAGAGTGTGCAACCCAGACAGGTGGCGGTGGAAAGGGGTGTACATGGGCCAAGAGTCAGAAAAGTGCTGGACTACCATGTAGCCAACCACAGTTTGAGTCTTGGACCTGGTGGCTTCCTTTCTCACTTTCCCTCTATCTTTCTCTCACTCTGTCCCTCTCTAGTCAAATTAAAACAAATAAGTAAAAGTTAAACAAAATAATTCTTTTAAAGAGAGAGAGAGAGAGAGAGGACACACATTAACGACAGGTTAAGGGAGTGGTGAGAGTGTGCAACCCAGACAGGTGGCGGTGGAAAGGGGTGTACATGGGCCAAGAGTCAGAAAAGCACACCCCAAGGTGTTCCAAAGGAAACTCAGCTCATGTTCCAAGGCATTATCATGGCCGGCCAGGACACTAGTGGCCATCAGCAGTGTCCCCAGGAGCACTGCAGGATTTCGGTGAACTTTTCGGTGCCAAGTCCTGAAGTGATGTAGTCCCAGATTTAGTTTCTCATAAAGCCTGCTTCTTTTACAGGGAACTGGCTACACTCTTAAGAGCATAGTCTGCCTAGGAAAATCACCTGTAAGTCACTGCCCAGTTCACCATGATTTAGATAGATCCATGTGGTGGTCCTCAGTGAAGTATCAGGTCATCGAAAAAGTCATGACTCATTTTGGCATAGAAAAAACAGAAAAATACGTCACGCCTTTCTGACGACCTAAAACCTTCCTAGTTACTATGCTCAGCACAATATCAAGCAGAGATGTCCTCATCCCTGACTTAGAAAAAAAACAAAGACACATTCAGTTTAAAGAGAGAGCCAAAATGCGATATTCCATTAAGCAAGATGGCTGTACTTCCAGCCTCTGCTCTTGGGCCATCCTGACAGCCTGTGGCAGACATTACATTTGATGAGCTGTCATTTTCTATGGCAAAAGGCAATAATCCTTGAAGAAAATCAAAATCAAATCTCTATTTCTTGTTGAGCGTCATCATGGTGGTAGGACTGTGTGAAAACAGAGTCGGAGGGCTAAAACATTTTTTCCTACCTGCTTATACACAGCTACTCTGTTTCCAATGCAAACTCCCCTCATCCTTACTGTCATTCACTGTCTCCCTAAAAACGATCACTGCACATTAGCAATCTCCTCACACGTGGCACCCTCCCTGCTGATGCCAGCTTGCTGCTGATACATCATTTCGTTTGGAGAGAAGACAATAGAAATTGCTGACACAAGTGTCAGATGCCTCGTGATCTGACATGGTAGAAAAATTGTTTAAAAGTATTTGGAACAGGAACTCTGCACTCCACACAGTGCAAGGCACAGGGTTCAAGTACTGTGTATGGTTCCTGAGCTTTCAAGCCTTTTATGATACCTTTTTGGTCCAAAGATATCCTACATATAAAATGTTGTATAAGACGAGTTAATAGGTTTGGACCAGTAGCTGGCACAGACGGTAAGGCAGCTGGATCCCACGTGACCAACTGCACGGTTGGAGCCCTGGACCTGCTAGCTTGAAAATCACACTGGACGCATATGCTAGCGTGCCCCAAATCCCAAGAGGAGAATAGAGGAGAGGGGATTGTGGTGTGACCATCCTCTCTGGGGGGTACTTTTTCACTTTCTCTCTTTTCTGGAGACTGCATATGCTCTGTATCAAAATAAACAAATAAATAAACAAAAATAAAAGAAGAGCTAACAGATGTGTGTCCCAGGAATGCTGTAAGGACTTTGAGGGAATGTCTACTAACATGAAAGGGTCAGTCAGGATGGGTGAAAGAGCTGAGCCTTTGTGAGGGAGGCACTAAGGGCAGCCCTGAGCTGAGCAATGATGTAATGAAGTGGACGGTCACCCAGTCCAGCCTCTTCTCTCCTGATTGGACCAAGCAGTAGCCACCTGACCTTAGATGAACAAATCAAATTTCTCCCATGGAAATGTAAACCTGGGACCCAGGATCTATTAGTTTGTCTATGTAGCACTTGAAAGATGAAGTCCTTTGAAGCTACGGCTGGAACACAAGGAAAAGGAGCTAGAGAAGTGGGGCAGGGAGGGAGAGAGAATGAAGTGGATCTGTCTAGAGAACAGAGATAAGCCATCTTCATAGCCCCAGAGGCAGGGCCCATAGCATAAAGAGCAGCTCTCTGGCTCCTGAACTCCCTTCCTGCTTCCAGGACCCTCTGAGTCTCTCACAATTAACATCTCTAACTAATTCCATTTTTGTTCTTAGACTAGTTTGAGAGGACTCTATCTCTTGCAAGCAAGCTGTCATGACATACGCCATTTCTAACTTTTCTTCCTCAGACCCCTACGGTCCTCACATATTTATAACAGCAGCAATAGTCATGGAGAAAGCTGACTCTTCAGAGCAATATTTTCCATTATTTTATGTTTCATGGATTAAAATGTCTTTTAAGAATGAGGAAGAGTATTTACAATATAGAAATATTGATTTTATTTTGTAAAGTTAGAGCCATTTAACAAACAAACAAACCAATAAAAAAACAAAACCCAAAAATCCCTACCCTGATTGGTATCATTATCATTGTAAGAAAGGAAAGATATTTGAATACCAAAAAAGATAGGTAATATACACGCAATTTCAGATCTGTCCTAACACATAAAGATGATCTTATAGTTAGTCCCAGTCTAGTGTTAAGGTTGCTGGATTCCACACGGCTGACTGCAGTTGGAACCCTGGCCCAGCAGCCTGAAAAACATACCAGGTCTGAGTGCATGCCAACTCCCAGCAGGATGGAGAGATGGAAGAGACGGCAGCCTGACCACCTCCCATTGGGAGGCGCTTTCTCCCCATCCTGCTCTTTTTTTGTCTTTGGTGAGTACAGGTGCTCTCTAGCAATTCGGAAAAGTATAAAATACACACACACACACACACAAAAGTCTTTATATTGAAGTTATCGTTTTCATTTTGCTTCAAGTATAATAATATTTTGGGTCACAAAGGGTCTACTCGGTGGGTCCTCTAAAATCTTCTCCCTAAGCTGTGGAACTAAGAGCTTCCCCTAAGGGCGGGGAGGGAGGGTGTGTGGAGCAGGGGATGGCGAGGTGCTCTCAGCTGCCTCCTGGACTCAAGGGTCCATTGGACTTACTTCTCCCCTTGCTCTACGGAGGCCCCAGACACCCAGTTTCTCTCTGTCTCCAACATAACACTGTAAACTTCCCCAAATCATCAGGTGACTCCAAACCTACACACTCAGGTGGGAAGTCCTTTGGGGCCATGTAGGAAGGAGGTGGTCTGTATAACCGTTTTGAACCCCATCTTTCTCCTTCAGAGAGGACTTTCTATCACCAAGAGATGCTGGTGTTGGGGATGAATTCATGCAGCTCTGTCTTCTTTATCTGTAACACGTGCAGATGAGCTCTCTGTAAACATTCTCTTCCAAGTGAAGGGGTGAAAGAAGAGAGGAAGAGACCGAACCATCAAGGGCCTGCTGAGCTGTGTCAAGTGATGGACACATGGTAATCTCACTCGACCCTCACTGTGACTGCATAATACAGATTACTGTCAAGAAAATGTACAGGCAAAGCAACTTGTCCAAAATTCTAGCAAGTGAAAGAACTGAGGCAAAATCTCTAAGATTCCAGAGGTAACACTCAGTGGTAAAATTATTACTTTTTTAGAGAGATTTTTGCTATAGGGCATGTACGCTCACTGGAGAGACAATAGAGAGAGACAGAAAGTGAGAAAACACACCCCCCGGGGGAGATGGCCACACTGCAATCCCTTCTCCTCCATTCTTCTCTCGGAATCTTGGGCACACATGCACATGCGCCTGGCATGGGTTTTAAGCTGCCAGGTCCACTGT